TGTGTTATTTATAATGTTGAAAAATGAAAAACCTTTAAAATATTCGATAATAGGGAATAGTAAATAGATGACGTTCCATCCATTTAAAATCAAGTTATCAAAAATTTCTTATTGGTATTGGAAAACACTTATGATATAGTGTTTGGTAACTGAAGCAGGTCACAGAATAGGAAGAAAACAATAACAAAGTGAATTACCAGTTTTTTTCCCTGGTGCTGTGTTGATTTTCCTGGTACCCAAAGCAAATGACCAGCTGATAATGGGAACCAGTCAAGCTTTGTGGGTGAAATCACACCATCAACCATGTTTCTCACCAGTGAAGTTTCAGCTGCTTGTGGTGAGAATACTGGGTACTAGGTATTGACCTAAAATAGTCCAGTGGGTACAACTCCAACCTCAATTAGGGATGTTTGGACTCTGAGTTTCTCTATTATTCTGAAGCTTCCTTTATATCCTTGGTCAACTCAAGTCTGGGAGCTGAGAGATGGATGGTGATAACCAGGGTGGAGAGAGAATGGCTGGGATGCACGTGTGTGTGTGTGTGTGTGTGTGTGTGTGCATTTGTGAATAGTTGTGTGGCCACCATTTAAAACATGCATGTATGTGTATGTACCCATGTAGATATGATCCCTCTGGCCCACAGTCCCAAATTTAGAATCAGGAAGGCACTATGGTAATTTAACTAGTCAAATTAATCACCCAGATAAGGAGGTGATAGAAAGCTATGGCTATTCCTAGGGTGAATGTTGAACACCATCTGGCATTTTTCTAGTGATCTGAATGAAGGCTTCTACGGAATGCTCTCACCCTTAGCTTGAAGAAGATAGAGAGAAGCAGGCTGCAGCCCCATTGACAAACATTTCTTTGTGCTATAAAAGTGTCTTACCTAGAGCAACATTGTATGCTTGATTAAGCTTACACTGAAAGGGATTTATGTTGTCACTTTAATAATTTATTTTTTATCAGAAGCTAACCAAACCTTTTTATAGTAGCTTCACTGGTATAAAAGACCTGTTCTTTCATTTAGGTGGCATATTTATTGGTCAATTTTACTATGAGTCTATTAATGTATCAAATCCACATGTGTTTTGAAGAAAATCAGAATGGAGTTCATGAAAAGTTGCCTCTGCTTTTTAATTGTCCAGCTTAATCTGAGTTAAAATAAAATGTTTTTATTTCTTTCTTTCTTTTTCTTTTTTTTTTTTTGATGAAAAGTGGTCTTTGATCTAGGCTTGGTTGAAATGTGTTTTTTTCCAAGTTCCCATTCTAGTCCCTCCCCTTATCCCAGCTCTTCTGTCCAAACAAGCATACCACCTCTGGGGAGAAGACTGCTACTACTCCCTGAGCTGCTGCTATTGTCACTGCTAATGGTCTCAAAGTCATTTTTAACTTGACAGAAAGTCTGCTGTGTTCCAAGTCCCATAGGGTACCTCAAGAGATAGTCCAAAGGAAATATACAATATGCAATTCTTTAAAATAGCCAACTCCTCTAGCACTTTCTAGATTAATGTTTAATTTTCACATAGATTTCAGGAATACAGATGTTGCATAAAGCAAGGCTCACCCCCATTAAGGGCACCTCACTAGTTTATGACTTTGATTATAAAGGTCAAATTATATATGCACTCTGTGTCAATGTTCTTCTCTCAAAAGTGAAAAGACCGGGCCCGTCGAGTGGCGCAATGGTTAAGAACTGGCTTGAGATGCCAGAGGGCCCCGGTTCGGATCCCACATATGAGGGCCAGTGACATTGCCCTCCACAGCTAAGATGCTGAACAACAGCTCAACCTGGAGCTGGGCTGCTGTGAGTCACCGGCGAC